CACTCTCCCACTCACTCAGTCCATCTAACTGTCTGTCTGCCTGTCTCTCTCTCACTCTGTCTCTCTCTCCTCTCTGTCTATCTTTCTATCTTTCTCTCTCTCTCTCTCTCTCTCTCTCTCTCTGTCTGTGTCTCTCTCTATCATACAGTCATTCAGGTCTATTTTTAGAGGATTTTCCCCTCTAGCCCCCCCCCCCATTTCAAATTAAAAGCCCCACAGAATGAATTCTAACTGGAATGCTTGTGATGAAGCCTCTCATTTTAGTGTCAAACATTATGATTCTGTCTCCTCTCCCCCTCTCTCACCCACCCAGTCCCACCCTTTCAAAATAAAAGCCCCACATTCAATCCAAGAGTATGAATCTAAAATGCAGAAAAGAGAGTGGCACTATCTCAATTGAACCTGAATGACACTACCGGTAACATTGGCATGTGTATATATTGCGATTTCTTCGGGCAGTAGAAGCCACACTGTCAAAATTTCTTTAGGAATTTTCTAGTTTGAATTGTTATTAATACGCACCTATACACATAGTGAGAAGATCACTTTGTGGTGCATTTTGCAAAATATTTCTAAAAACAAGTGACACTAATGATGCATGTATGTTATCTGGAAAACCTCCACATGATGGCAGTATTGTAACTTCATTCACTTTTTCTTCACTGATATATTTTTGCCAACAGATGGCACCACAGTCTCACTACAAGTATGAAGGCCTCTTTTCTTCTTCCAAACACAATCCTCACATCTCCCCAATGAAGCAAGACAACAGTGTGCGGGCAGAAACAGTAACATTAACTCAGACTGCTGACTGTGTTGAAAGTAAGACAGTATTGTTTTACAGCCGTTTAATCTGTTGATCATTATCAGTCGGTGGGATAAGTCTGGGAGCAGGAAGGGTGGGAGAGTCTTCCTCTCGCTTCCTGTTACTGTCATACATCTCTGTGTGATCATAACAATACAGCTGAGAGCTGGACTGAGACTTCTATCCAGTAGATATCATGCATTTAGAATAACTGATATGAATTCTCAGTTTAACTGATGTGGAGATATATTAAGAGTTATGAAAATACTATAAGGTCATTAATGACTGTTGCTTATTGCGACTGCTTGCAACTGATAATTGCATAAAGTGAGCCTATATGTGATAATGGTAAATGCTAAAACATATCTATTTAAAGGTTGCATTTAAACAATCGCCGCCATAAACTGCATGGTCATACCAGATCAAGTAAGCCTGTAGCAGAAAACCCCTGAATGTATTGAATTAATGGTGTCTTTTTTAATTGGTAAAGAATTGACTTCTTTATTCAAAAGCCTTATAATCTGGCGTGAAAATAGTTTAGAATCTTGGGTATTTTTTGTTCTACTGCTGCTCCGATTGTGACCATTTATAAAAAGAAAATAACACGTCCCTTGAAAGTTCCTTATCTTTATGGAAGTGCAACACTAAATTGCTGGAATACCCCTTTAATAAATACATTACACCTGACACGAGCACATATTATTGGTCTTGTAGTCCAGACAGGAAGCAGTGACTAAATGTGTCTGTTTGCTGTGACAAAAACTGAGACAGCACAAACACACAGGAGATAAGAATAACACATACTGATATAACAGTACCCTTACACTTCTGAGATAGACTATGTTTCATACATTAATATCTCAGACATTTCCTAAGTCAGAAATGTCAAAATGTGGTGGTGGAGGAGGTACTTGGATATGTTTCTCATGGTTTAAAAATACGTACGAGTACAAGTCCTGCATTGACTTCTGCTTGAGTTAAAGTGCAGAAGTAAGATTTTATCAACAAAACGGATTATCACAAGTTGAGTATTGAGCAGATTCATCCCTCTCAGACTGTTGTATTATTATTTATGCAGGACTATTGTATTATTATTATTGATGCATTAATGTATTAACAGCATTAGCAGCATAGGTGCTCCTGTATATTGTTCATGCATTATCTTTAATTTATTATTCAGATATTTTCTTTGTAAATAGTCCCTAAAGCTGTAAAATGTATGTAACGGAGTACAATATTTCCTGCTAAAATCTATAAAGTAGTATGAAAGTAAATTAAAGTACAATACTTGAGTCAATGTAAATACTTTCCACCAATGAAACAATGCGAGTGTTGTTTCTTCTTTGTTTACAAGCAGAGTGACCACACAGCACCAGTGCAGCCTACACCATGAAGTGCAGCAAGTTTATATGTAAACATCATATAAAGCCTGTAATATCACTATAGACTCATTACATACAGGTGGCATGAAACGTATTAGGATAATATGAACATATAAGTTATTCATGTTTCTGCTTCAGTCCTGCAGCCCGGTGTGTGAGGGGGCGGGGCCAGACGAGAAGCCAGCCAGGCTGCAGAGTGGAGAAACAACTCGGCGACACCTGCAAACAAACTAACAACCGACTTTCACTGCCGCAACGTACAGAGCGGATGAAGCGGAGGCGCACATTAATGCGAAATACGTTTGCGCAAAAGGTGTTTATTAACCGGAGAAGCAAGCAACGGGATAAAAAAAGTTAATTCAAGGACTTCAAGTCGTGCGATTTGAGTCGAAATCGGACCGAGAGCTGAGAGACGACTGCAGGTAATGGCAAGCCGATTCATCTTCAGTTGAACAACTTCTGCTTGAAATGTATTTTTATGAAACAAAACAAAAACTGTGCTCTGACATTATCGGGATGGTTATACTTTTTGGGCATCTGTCGTTTTATTTATTTACAGACGGTCAAATGCTGGTGCGTTCAAAGGTAAAACGAAAATAGAAAAAAAGCGTGGCGACTTTGACTGCGTGCACTGGGAGCCTAATGTTGCAGAATCTGTCATGTCCCTTGTTGTGATCTTGCACTGATCCATTTACTGACTGTGTTCCACTGCGGGAGTTTCACTTCCCGGTGAAAGCAGTAGAGGTCATGCATTGTTCCCGGAGGATAGGTTTGAGTGCTGATAATGTGAATAGTAGTTTTCACTTCTTTGTGTGAGAGTTTATCAGTGGCTTAGCATTGAGGTTGTTTTCCATTATTTCTTATTATAGGGTTGCAGAAAAAGTAGTGTATTGTCCACACTGATACAATCCTTATGTTTAAGGTGGTTTCATATATGACCAGTGAAAGTTTTACACACCTTTTCATCACATGAAGCCACGGTGACACTGCTGAGTGAGTATGATGCCTATTGTGGCATCTGTGTTAGTTTCCATGTAAGCCGAGCACAAAATGATAAAGCAACATAGCACGCTAAAGTGTAGTTACCAAAGGGCTGAAAAGCAGAATCGCACCTTTTTCATACGGCCTATAACTGACTGCATGTGAGAGGAATTACATTATTCAGTCATGCGTCCTCTGAAAAAAATGTCAAGGACAACAGGATCAAGTTGCTCGTGTCTGAACATATTTGCATCACATATAAAGATGTCGGAATGAGTTTCCCCAGATGCTTTGTGACAGCGTTCCTTCTCTTGTTCTGTGTAATCTCTTTTCTCACGCTCTGTTCTGGAGTGCGTGGCCACCAGCCAGGTCAGGTTTCTTATTCACATTGAACATGTCAGCAGCTGGAGTCACCCCGAGGCCGATGGCTGACACAAAATCTGTGCAGACTAGAACAACTGGACATCTAAATTTGAGACCCCCCCCCCCCCCCCCACAAGTACTGTGTCTTATTTTGGTTACCTGATCACATTATGGTTACTTTTGCACATGTATGATTCAAAAGTTGCTATTGAACTCAAGAAGCTCAGATCAAGTAGATCCTTTTAGATGTGTGGATTCAGATTATGTCTTTAAACCTTACGTAAACACAAGCATACCAGAATATTCACGTGTGTTGACATTATGGGGCGCAACCTGCCAACCTGGGACAATGTTTATTCTACGATATGACACGCAAACCTTCTCTAGTTCCACGTTACAATGGTGAAGCTCCATGGAGATGAGTAGGATGAACAAACAAGAGATAGCCGCCCAGGCCTCTGGCATTGCACTTCTATTGATAAGAAGTTCTTTGGACACCATATTACAGTTATAGTGATATCATTGCTAGATAAACCCTGTGTCTGACAGTATAATGTGACTTGACCTGTTGTTAAAATACTGGATCCTGTTCTTGATGTTGCTCTGCTCTGTCCTTTAATTTACAGTTTTATTGGCATCAAATAACATAAAGTAATATTGGGTTTAACATAGATTCAGAGGATAGTGCTTCCTGCCATTATAGATTTATTATTTAATTCTAATTTGTGGAATTAGGGGTTGTATTGAGAATATCAGGGGATTAGATCTGAAATGACTAGTTGTTTAACTGATAAGTCGATTGACAGAAAACTATTTTGGTGACTGATTAATCGTTAAAGTACTTCTCTTATTCCAGCTTTTCCAGTGTGAGGATGTTATGCTTTTCTCTGTTTGATATGGTTGTAAATGTAATATATATATATATTTGGATTATGGACGGTTGGTCAGATGATACAACCCATTTCAAGAGCATCATGCTGGGCTGTGAGACCTTATTGGGACCTGAAAGAGGAGAGAACATTATTTAGCAGAAATGATGCAATTTACAGTGTGCAAAAAACCAAACTGTGGTGGCTTTGTCTGAGTGGCACCAGCTCATGCAAATGAGTGTCTAGGCAAAGTGCAGCCTGCTGAGCTGACACCACTGTGCAGCTTGGAAGTCATGCACTATTCACAGCTGAGAGTGAAGTCACAGTGGATCCGGTGTGTGCTGATGATACGGTTACCCTGCTGCGTGCTGCCTGAAGAGTCGGACACTGTACTGTAGTTATAGTAGCTTCTTCCATACAGGTTATCTTAGTCATGTAAAGGCTGCTAGCAGAGCATCATAAAGTAGTGTTCACATCTCAATGTGATCACTTTTTCAATGAAAACAATGTAATGAGTGGTAGATAAACAGTGTGGGTTGTTATTATCCTCACACTGTAGTATAACATGGCTATTACCTCCCTAGGCATCTGGTGGATGGAGAGACGATGGAGGTGAACAGAACAGAGGTGCCTCTATATGTAAGTGCCTAAATGTTTTGCTCCATGCCTATAAGTGTGTGATGTGTGGTTGGGTGAATACATGAACTCTGAGGCCCGATTTCCTCAGCGGAATTAGAGCACTCTAGTCTTTCCCTCCTGCCATCCCTTTGCTCTCCCTCAGTCCCGACTCTCCCTCATGCGCGGCGGTTGACTGGCAAGCCTTGCGTCACACTTGAAACCCAAGCCAGGAGGGTTTCAGTCCCCGGGGAAGCCAGGCCTTACACAGACCCGCTCACCAAATGGCAAGCCTCTGCAAGCATGGCTTCCACTGTGAACTTCGGAGGGAATGTACCATATTTGTTTCTTGTCTTTTTTCCTGTAGGGAGAACACCGACCAGTTTTTAAATTGAATAAATACACATTTTACATTAAGGAGCATGCTAGAGTGCAGGTGTGTTTGCCTTATTGTTTTTTTGTTTTTGACATAGTAGAGCTCTGTTTCTCTGTGCTACTTTAATTTCTTCCATCTGTCTTCCTTTTCCTGGTCAATCCTCCATATCCGCCATCTTTCTCTCTCACTCTCACTCTCTCACCCTCTCTCTCTCTCGCCCTTATTCTCCAGTGTGTGAGGAAGCCTGGGTGGGCCAGTCACTGAAGCGTTGCCAGATTTCTGGTAAGCAGAGTGTCTGCTTGTTTTGCTGTGTCACCAATTTTAGAGAGGTGGGGAATCTTTGCCCCCACTCTCCCATAGAGGCAGATTGAGGACCCGTCTGAAACCCGGGCATGTGAATCATTACGGGCTCTACCGGTTTCGCATGCACCTCTCCATTAAGAGGAAGTGGCGTCTCCACCCTCGAAGGTCACAGCTCAACAGGAGCAAACTCTCGCTGCCGACTGAGATCCGGATTTCAATGCCAGGCTTTGTGTCGGCATAGCCGCAGCACACTGCTGTGCTATAAAGGCTGTTATTGTAACAGCCTTTAGTAATGTGTTATGGTGCACCTTCCACACATACAACACAGTGTCCGTAGCAGATACTGTTCGCTCCAGATCAATGGATAAATGGTTGCATTGAGTTGCAGGCAGAAAGTGTGGCATTTCCTGTGTTTGAGGAGGTGTTATTGAGCTCCAGCACAGGACAAAGTGATTCTGTTTGAGTAAAATTGATCTCCTTCCTAGTACCAAAAAACACATATGCTTCTCAATTTTGAGAAGCATTTTGTTGTCTAGTTATGAGACTAGATGTTTTCTTCAATTTTGAACATCGTAAAATGGCTCAAGTGTTGTTGTCCTGGTTTTAAAGGCTGCATTACAGTGATGTCATTTTCCTTGCTGTTATTGTTTGCCTTTACCCACTACATCATAAATTGACTTCTCTATCTTAGAATTGTAGCAGACTTGACAAAATATATAGTCATGTCTGTTGTAATAATGTCAATCAGTTGTAATCAACATTACAACTGCTAAGCATCAACATGTTGGCGGTTATCCTGAGCATGTTAGCATGTTAACGTTAGCATTTTGCTTAAATCCTAAATTCGATCTCACAGAGCAGCTAGCAGGCTGTAGAAGCTTCTTCATAGCAGCCATTAGCTCAGCACAGCACAGCTGCATGTTAACAAATGGAGATGGATTAGCTACATCCTTGTCGTACCGTGTTTGTTCAGTCGCCCGTATTGGTTTGATAGAGAAAGTTATCACAGTGCTCTTTGAGCACAGGTTTCCCTGTGTTATGGTTTATGATTTTGTTTCCCTATAAGTGCTGTGGTGATTGTGTTTGCCATGCTTTTCACATGTCTAGCAAAACCTCACACTGCCAGTCGTTTATTGACGATAAGCCAGTCAATCGTAAAGGAAGAAAGAAAAAGCTCTTTCACCTTAACTAAAAGCTTTATATGGGCTCTTATTATGGTGGTTTTCTCAATTATTGCAGACCAAAATTAGACTTCCGGGTGCTTCTTGGTATTGTTATGTAACAAGGAGTCCATACTTGGTAGCCCCGTCCTTTGAAAGGAAATGTTTGCAGGACCGCGCCAGCTTTGCTAACAGCCTTTTCTGACATGTAGACTAGTTATTAGTATCTCATTTGCACAGCAGATTAAATCAGAGGTATGTGTCTCAGCTGAGTATGAAAAAAAGCCCTGCAGTACAGCTCTAGCTGTCGCCCTCAAGACTCCAATGAGATTCTGGTCCACTGACTTTCTTTTAACTCTGATGTCTACATGTCACTGCAGCACTGTGTGGCTTGCAAAGTCAAACCATTAAGTTATTATGATTTATAGCGACTGTGTGAGGATTTCAGCACACTTCATTTTTCTTCTTAATGAGGCAAAATGTAATTTGTGTTGGTTACCTTTAGCTGAAATACTGTATTGTGAAGAATTGTTGGTATTCAGAACAAAAACAGAAAAACGACTCCGTTCCCGCTGACGTCAGGCTGTCTTCCCACTCAGGGAACTGACTGTTATTGGACCTGTTTTTGTTGTTGCAGTGGCAGAGATGCTGCTCCCCTGACGTCACCTACGTGGTTGCACTCAGGAGATCATAGCAAAGAGCTCTAAAGCTGATGACTGCTGGTTTCCTGGAGACCACAGGCAGCAGATCCGATGTTGTTTTCCCCCACTGAATGGACAACAACACGGGGAGATTACACAACCATGTCACTGGTGTAACCTTGGTGTTGGTGGTCTAATAATAACAAATATTAATATGCACCAGTCTTATAATCTCCCCGTGTCGTTGTCCATATTGAGGTAATCTATCAGAGCGCATTTGACTTTTAGATTTGTATCAAGCGCCTTTTGCATATGCGATAGACCTCCTCATGTTCCATAATTAACACATTGTGCCTGACCTGAGAACTGCCCATAAAGGAGGCATGAGGTAAAACCACAAGGTGTTGAATATTTCATTGTTACTGGATCAGGTTGTGTCATGATAAAGCCCGGGAGAAAAGGCCATAGATCACATCAGTCTGGGGTCTTATCACCAGCCAAACATCCTCGTACCTCTTCACCCCCAAGGCACAGGAGATACGGTTAGGATCAAGCAAATTCTGTCTGATCAAATTCTGCTAGTGTGAACCAATATTATCTGAGGCTGCTGCAGATTGGTGGGACTATAAAGTGGGAACTACAGCCTCCTTTGGAGGAGTGAAAACAAGATCAAAAGATAAGCGTTCACATATGTTTCTGTGTCTTTCATATATAATAATGATACTTGCAGCTGGAGGACAATTTTCCAAAAATAAACAAGTAAAGAGAGAGAATGGATAAATCTCTTTGTTGTCATTGTGATATATCAGAATAGTCCTCGTCAAGTGACATCAAATAGGACGAATTCGTGTGAGAATGACCTTTGTCCAAATCTTGGACAACCTTTGCAAAAGTTTAATAAAAAATGTTTGCAACCTTGAAAGAAAATTAATGAAATTGTACTTTAAAAATGTATAAATTGCAAAATAACTGGAGATGCCGTGGGTCTAGCTAGCCTGGTGACAAATCAGGAAGGCTGCACAAACCACAGGCTGACATCTTATCTTTTTGTAAGATGGAAAAACAATCAACGATAACATTAACAGCGCTAAGTGGTGCTACAGCTAACCACTTAGTGCTCACAGCAAGCTGAGAAACTGCAGCTTGAGTCAGACCTCTATTATCAGTGCAAGCCAACAGCCGGCTCACACAAGAGGTCAGCTCCATCTCTACCTCTGAAACACTATTGACTGGACTCAGATAGCAGCTCTGGAAAGCCCCAACAGTTTTGGGGCAAAACAAATATAAGGGACACTGATGTCAGTTTCAACGCTCAGTCAAAACTGTACCAACTCTATAATTGGTTGGTTAGCCAGGTTCACATCACGATCCTTATGAGGATTATGTAGATACATCTTCCACCTGTAATGCTTTAAGGAAATGCCTTTTGAAAATATCATAATTGTGTAGAACTTTATCTGTGTCCTGTTTCAGGCAGCTCGCTATCTAGTTTAAGTCCAAATACCTGTAAAACTACTGATATTCCCATCAGCCTCAGCTGTACTTTGTGTTGCATTGATTAGCAAATGATGGCATATCAAGACACCAAACCAGATATGAACATTATTCCTGCTAAACATCAGCTAATGAGCATCGTCTTTGTGAGTACTTTAGTATGCTGACGTTAGCGTTTAGCTCAAAACAAGTGCCTAAGTGAAGCCCCACAGACTCTTGAGTCTTGTTTACACATATTGATTTTAATTATATTTAATCCATACACAATCTAAGATGTAATGTCAATGCTTCAGTCCCCTGCTTTTAGTTGCTCTCCCTCAAAAATATTATAAGATAAGACTGATGGAGGCCCTACAAATACATTTCAACATGATGGATACCTTACTAACAATAAGGATGCATAAAGGACGACCCCATAAATCCCAAGATAAACCCCCCAAGCTGAGTAGAAGAAAACAGAAGATAAGGATATGGCACAAGCATGGAACTTCAAGTATGCCATCCCTCTTAAACTTGAATGATACACTCTGAGCTAACCCTCTTCACAAGGTCATCCTCTTGAGGAAATAATAACATTGAGCAGGTGAAGTAAATCTTGTGGTTTCCGTGTTTTGGTAATCTGTGTTTACATAGAGGACAAAAACATTTACTTTGCAGTAGGGATGGGACGATATAGGATTGTATCGCAATAAAAACACTCGCAGTAAGTTTGGGGGGAATTCTGATGTCTTCAGTGTACTGAATACATGAAGGAAGAGAGTTGTGGGTGTCTTTGGGGTGATGCAGAGTTCAGACGAGGGCATTAAAAAAAAAAAACCAGATCACTGATGTAACAGAAATAATGAATCCCATTATGAGGATGGATCATGAAGTAGACGCCCAGTAGGGTGCAGGTCACTCCTATCGTGAGATTATCACTCTCTCTTTCTTCCTTTTTCCTTGTTGCCCCGTTCTACTCCTTCCATCCAATGTGAACATTGAACTTTGTGATACTGATTAAAGGTAATCGGAACGCGTCAGCAGGGTGATAAGAAAAGACGTTTTCCTTCTAGAGTACTATGAGTCTTATATGTTGGTTGTTGTGAAAAGGCAATTAAATGGATTTTCTCTTCCTCATCTCAGGGACAGGTGGAGGCCCATGTCAGGTTACAAGCCAACGCTCCTGAAGACGCTGAGTTTTATGTTGTTTTAGAAGGTTCTGACCTCACACATGTGACTGCAGCAAAAAGAGGAGATGATGGGCTGACCCTTTGCTTCACAGTTCCTGGTATGTCCTTCAGTCAGCCTCTAAAACCACTCCCGTTTCTCTCTTTGCCTGTCTTTGTCTCACCCCCTGCTGTCATGATTTCCTTCCTCTCCCTCAGGTCATGCCCTTGTGGAAGTTGTCTCTGTCACATCCTACTTTTACGCAGAGGGCCAAGTCAAGCCATGCGAGGATGAAACATCTCTTGAATACCTCAGGGACGTTGCCCAGGAGGCGGCAGAGTACCTGAGCGCAAACAGGGACCAGCTTGGCCCCCAGAGCTACCTAGAGGTCCTGAAGAGGTTTTCCACGTGGGCGCAGGCAGCCGACGAGGAGCTCTCCGCTGCAGGTTTAGACAAGGAGGATGTGCGGCTCAGACGAAGTTCAGGTGATGAAGCTGGTCTCAGGCAGCTGGACGAGAAGATCACACAAGCTATGGCCAACATGGATTACCCTCAGCAGTGGAAAAACACTGACGGTCAGCCGAGAGAAGGTAATGAAGTGGGAGTTAAAGTCACACGCTGCAATCTTGTAGGCTTTTATTTGGGTCTGCATATTTTAAAACGTTTAAACTTCAAAAACAAACCAGTCGAATAAAAACAAAGCATATCCAGGAGGTCTATATGTGTGTGGATTCATTTTTCTCTCTTAGAAAAGAGTTTTTAGCCACAAACCCTCGAGGCCTCATCCACTCATCTCCTCGTCAGTGCTCCGCTACTTCCTGGATCATTTACAGAGGTCAAATATCAGGGATTCCCCTGAGTGTCCTCGTATCTGAGGACCCTCAACTGTTCAACTCCCAAATGACTTCTTTGTTTGTGCTGTTGTTGCTGTAATGCACATCCTGGAGATGTCGATTAGGGCTGGTTCACCCAAGTTCAGAAACAACATATTTTGAGATTTAACGGTATCTAGCCACAGTTCTGCTCTCATTGGAACGGGTTTTGAGATATCCATTCTAGTTTTCCTAGGGACTACTTCTGCAGTAGAAAAGAGCTAAGTGAACATACTGAGGCGTTTGGATTGTCCTCAGCAAAGGGGACACTCTCTGTCTCTGGAAAGACATGTTGCACGACACTCTTCCAGGAGTACGTCAAAAATGACTCGTATTAGAATCAATGGTTTTATAGAAATATATCTTCTTATTATGCTCAAAGTAATTATCAGATTTCGGTGTTCTTGTGTTCAGTAGGTTTAAAACGCAACATAAGATCTGACTGTGTACAACCCAAGTCCTCCATCACATGATGTGCAGGACCAGCCAGCCGGCCGGCCGGGCAGAGGCCAGTGTGCTCCAAAGATGGAGCAATTACTGCCATTATTCCTCTTCAGCCAGATTAGAGTTGTCTCGCAGACCTCTGCGTCCATTAAATCAACTCCCACAATCCTCCTCTGCACTGCACCCCCACACTCCTTTGCACCGCAGCTGTGTCTGAGTTGTTTCTGGCGTCTGGCCTCAGATATCTTGATTCATGATGTTTCATTATTTCAAAGCAGTGAAATCTCACCTCATTTTCTTTTAGGAAATGAGGGCGAAACACTCTCAGCAGGCCAAAGTAATAGCCTATATATTGCACATGGGTGCATTTTAAGAGATTACATAGCCCATTATGGAAAAGTATATTGCTGACTTCTTTAAAATTCCAGATTGTTTCCTTTAGTATGGGGAGAAAAAGGAAATGACATCCCTCAATAAATGTCCTCTGTTGAAGGCTGCATACAGTCTCAGAGTGTCCTAGACAGCAGTATAGTATATGTACATGGCTTGCTTGGAAAAAAAGCAAATGCCCATGCAAAACACTGGCGAGGTGCAAATGCAAAGTAGCTGTTGCCCCCAAGTCCCCCGGCGCACTATTTACTGGCCTATTTGACAATGACATTCTTGTTTGTTGAACTTTTGCACGAAGAGCATGTTCAGTATTCACTCTTCTCAGTCGGTGCGAAACTGGGTCGCAATTAACGGCACCATTGTGGAGGTGACGGAGGGTTTCGGTTCATCACAGAGCTCCAGCAGCAAATTGGAGGGAAAAGAGGAAATAAGAGTTGAATTCTCCTGCACATTGTTCCTGGGTAGGAGAGACCGCGCCATGGCAACCTTCAGCTCTCACCCACACTTAAAGGGAAGATGAAGTACCTCTGGTCCTCTCTACAAACACTGCTTACAAAACAACAAGGGTGTACATGGAGGATTTGTGCTGAGCAAGGGATTGGCAGACATGTGCGAAGCTGTTGCCACCATGTGCTTGCCGCGTGATATGAACCTAGTTAGTGCATGTTAGAGCATCAGGGTTGTTCAGCAAAGGGCAGCAACCGTCTCACAGCAGGTGTTGGTGAAACATCCAGTTTTTCTCGGTAATAATGTTATTGATATACTGCTCACCCTGCGTAACCCTGAGTTCTTCATTCCTTCATCTGCACGGTTTATTACTGCCATACATTCTGTACATATGCCGCAGATGTTCTGTACGCCCGCACAGGGTTGAGAGAGCATGTGCAAGATACCACACCTTGATAAAGTTGAAGGTTGGAGTAAAAGTTGACTTTACATAAGTTAAGTATAACATAGCCTTAGAGATACTGGAGTTTTGCAGCTGATGCAGATTATGTTACTGCATTGCCTCTTTCTCCCCTAGTGCACTGTTTAGCTGTAAAATGAGAACGGTTGTGACCCGGCCGCCATGTTGAAAAAGCAGTCAAGCTAAACTGAGCAAACTGACGATGACAGTGACAGTTTGAGCAAAGATGACAAAAAGTTAGTTTTTATTGTAGTTATTAACTGTAGCTTTAATTTCAGAATAAAACAGCATTGTACATGATGTATCTGCCTCCATATCATTCCCTCCTCTGTCTCTTTCTTTAGCTACTGAGCTCCAGCCCAAGGAAACCCTCCTTCACCTTGCAGTGCGCCTGGGTTTGGTCCATCTCTCGCGCTTCTTAATCCACCAACCAAGAGGTCAAAGGGCATTGACCTCACCCAATCAGGAGGGAGACACACCCCTCCAGTTGGCTCAGAAGGACGGACAGCACGCCATGTTTAGGGTGCTGGCAGCGTAAGGCTATGATTTTATCTCTTGTCTTATTTTTGACACATGATGACTAATGAGACTTCTAATGATTCATAAGGGAGGCTCCTTTCTGTTCTAATAACCTCAAATCCTATAATCTTTCTTCCCCCTCATCAGTCCTCCAGGTCCAGCAGTAGGCCCTGTTCCAGGTGTGTGGTGTGTGTGGTCCGACAGCTCCTGCATGCTGAGGTTTTGTCCCGCGACGGACTCCCTGACCCTGACTGTGCAGCAGGCACCGGGCCGCTGCCCTCAGGACAGTATCGGGATCCTCCGGGACAGACTGGGAGACGACGGCATCCTCAAACTGGTGAGAACAAACCTGCAGAAACGCCTTTATTTAAAGTCCTTATTGTAATCCCATAAACTACATCAAATAGTGCAGTCATCGCTGATAAATATTCCCATGCGGCTCTGTGCATGATGTAATGTGTTGTCGCTGTCGAGATAAGGCCATTGGCACAGGTTTTGTTCGGACTTGTTTCAACAAAAAGCCCTTGACTTCCACACCCTTTAATTTGCAATCAGACATTTTGACAAGAGTTGAGCAAGTAACGGTAAACAAAACACTGCAGCTATTGCAGCTCATGAATCATAGGGCATGCAGTGTTAGTAGCTTGTGAAGCATGAACTTAGATGATGTTTTGAAATATGTAATCACATGAGTTATTCTGCAGGGTTTGGCTTTTACAATATTACATCAGTATAACCATAAACTGTACAATAGCATACTCTTTTGCTTTTAGCTCGTATTTGGTGATTTCTTTGTATATTTGCAGTGTGAATGTGTTCACGTAAGATCTATTTTTGTTCCAGATCAATGTGCTCAAAGCTGATACTGAGGCAGACAAGAGGGGCAAAGAGGAATTGCTCCCTCGTGATGAAGGTAAGGTGACTTATTAAATTAAACTCTGTGCTGTATGAAGTATTGAATTCATGTTTGCAGTGGCCATTTAGTGCCTTCAGACTTACTTCCTCTGATAATGAGGTTTGGTTATCAGCTTTTTTACCATGATCCAGAGAGACACAGGTGAAATCAATCCGGACACCTGTGTTGTCTGTGGTTTCCCCTCGTGTGCAACACGTTAGCAGTCACATGGATGTACCAGCTGTGTGACATGTGCTCCGACAAAAACAAACGTTGCACTCGGAGCCAGACAAGCACACATACGCAGTGAAATAAGACTCACAGATGTAGTTGTGTCTTGTGCTGAAATCATCGGTCGATATGTTAAATGACCGAAAACTAGCTTGGATAACCAATTAATATTCTAATTAATTTATGAAGCAACTCTTAAATGCAGATTTAAATAAAAATATTTTTGGATTTTGGACTGTTATTTCTCTGGGAAATTGTGATGGACATTTTTTTTTTTTAACTTTCTTCTTCTTACTATGGAGACCAAATGTTTAAATGATTCATCAAAAATAATGATTAACAGATTACTCAATGATGAAGTATAATCATTGGTTTTGCCATCACACTGGCCTCTGGCCTGCACAAACAGCTCTCATATGCTGTCTGTGTCTGTGTGCAGCGGTGGAAAATGAACCACCACAGAATCAGTTGAGCAAACATTTGTATGGTCAGACATCCATCACTTACAACTGAAAAAGGAGACTAAGAAAACACTTCCAACACACACCATAACGGCACACTCTTTCCTTTGCACGTGCGTTTGTTCTTCCTCAGACAGTTCAAGGAAACCTTAGGGGGCAGATCGTTTTTCTCTCTCCTTTGGTAACCACACACACACACGGAGGGAGACCGTTCCAGATCTCCCATGCTGCCACTGCCTCTTTTATTTTTTTGTTTGTCTCACACACGTACATCGGGTAGCTCTCACTTAACCTGTGGCCACTGTTTTTTGTAACCATAGCAGATTTCAGTATTGACTCATTAAAGGGAAGAAGGAAGTATACCTCAGTATTGACCTTAACCCTTCTGCAGCCGTCCATTAATCATCTCGAAATAACAACCCCACAGCAGGGTGTATGTGCTCTTCCTCTGGACCTGCTGCTTCGCACGAGCACAACATCTCATTGGCAGTCTTCAATTCCTCGATAGTGGAGTCACTTACAGAGGACTCGATGTCGTGCCGTCCACGCGGCGCTTCTTGGGAGGAGACGTGTTAAGTGTGTTATGCGTCAACTTCTGGCTAAATATTTTTATTTTACACAGGCTCCGAGCTCCGAGTGGAAGAGCTAGCGCTGGTGGACAACGTGAGTATACGTGCAGATATATGCGTGAGTCTGTGGAACAGAGTGCGTTGTGTTCTGTAAATGTTTACAGACGTTTGTTGCACGCAAATGTGATTTTGATCTGTGTTGTTTTTAAGTAAAAACAACTTGAATGTTCCCAAAAGCCATGTTTCCTCTGTGTGTTTTCTGGTTTGTTTAAAGGTATTTGAAGAACAGCTTGTTCTTTCTTTGGATGATGACGACAACGATGAAGAAGAATACCCATCCTCATTATCTGGTAATGCTTCTCTTCGCTTCTTTTCTCTTCTCATTTCTTCTCTTCTCTTCTGTTCTCCTCTGTTCTCCTCGTCTCTCGTCTTCTCTTCTCTCTCGATTTATCTACCTCAAAGATTTGGCAAACACAAGAGCAACTTATCCGATCCAAAATGCTGTTTCCATTTTAATATCATGGCAATAATACTCTGGCATCTGGTTTCAATTCCTGAATAGTTAGTTATATCCAGAAGACTTGATGTTGTGCTGCTACTGCTTTTCCTGGGAGGAAGAGCACAAGAAGAAGTAGCAGTGTAGGAGCTAGTGTTTCATGCATCAACCTCTGTCTGAATATTTTTGTTTTGCACAGGCATGAGCAAGGACCTTAATGTGGCCTAAATAATGAATGGGTAATTCATAAAAAAACAAAACACAAATACATATTTGTGGCTATGCTGAACAACAGGGTGTGGGAACAACGCATAATTAGTAGGTTGAGAAGCCCCGACTGGAAGCCTTTCTCTTGTGGCGCTGGCACAATATGCAGAGCCCTGTTTTGAATCACATCATAGGAAATCAATACGCTAACTGCTTCACAGACAGACAGGGATTCACTTCTGTCTCAGGTTGATGAGCAGTTTCCTTTGATTAAACGGATGTATTATCCTCCTGGAGTCTGGCTTCGGGCGGTGCGGGTTGGGCCTCTTTACCTGCTGGCTTCCCCAATGACTCAGTCCAGGAATCTGCCCTGTCACTGGGACAAAGGCAGGAATGGGGTCAGGCGTGTCCCACTCAAACTCTGCCCCCCCCGGCCTTGTCGCCTTGCCATCCCCTCCCCCGACTCCCCTGGATCGGACAGTGGAGCTCTGTACAGTCCTTGAATTAACAAGCTCGGATGTCGTAGGTTTACAAAAAGCTGACATCTTAGGTGAGCCCCATGCATTAATCTTGAATTCTCTTTAAACACCGGGTTGTGTAAGCTGAGCTAGCGCAAACACTCGCTGGCTTGTAAAAACTTTTGAGGAGGATGCTCAAAATGTTTCAGGTGTTGCCACGGTTACCGTGAATGCTAATTTCCTGTGTGTCGCCCGTGGAAGAATGAAGAGTCTGTTGTGAACGCTCGAGAGACTGCTGAATGGAGCCCATAAACTCTGTGACCATAAACTGAAGTGTGTGTGTGTGTGTGTGTGTGTGTGTGTATGATAACGTGAAGTAGTGATGAGTGACAACGCAGGGGCATTGATCCCAATGTTTCACCCTCGAGCAGGACTGCAAATTCTTTTCTATTGCACAAGTCGTCGAGCTCACTGACAGCAGCTCGAGGTCGCTGTGGTGTAAACCTGTCATCCAGAGTTATTGTTTTTTTCCAGATCTGTTGAAATGATTGCAAGGGTTTCTCTGGTTTATTGTTGGAGCTAGTCAGTGTGACAATTAGCCAACTGCTCCTTCAGTCTGTCGTCGTGCTTTAAATTAGGATTAAGGTGTTTGTGTCCTTGTGGAAAGCTTTATACACACTGACAGTTTGATTTGAGCAAATAGGCAGACAAGATAAATACAATGAATTGACATAACAGGTCTGCGTTGTATGTTTGAGCTCCGTGCTAATGTCTTCACTGTGTGAGAGCAGCAGAGAGGAAATGCCTCAGTGATGCCCAGGATTTCCCTAACATTAGTGCAGGCATGGCTGGTCCAGACATCAAAGTCTGAGTGGAAAGTGCTCAGCTAGAGAGCTATGAAAATGGCTTTCCAACGGAGAGGGGCTTTTTTCCACATTGTTATCATAGAAACACCATCCACCAGTGGCACATATAGCTGTGTATATACTGTACACACGTACTTTACTCAGGCACTGTCCTTGAATAAATATTTGCTTCAACTTTTCTTTATGCTGCTTTGTGCAAATACATTTTAAATGCACTATTTACATTTGAAAGCAGATACTCACTTTACGTTAAAAGTTTTCAATGCAAAACATGTAATCATTTATGATGCATTCTTATGGGAATATCTAGCAATTACATGCGTTTAAAGTAGCTCCACTTTGCCTCTCAAAAACAGCTTTGTTTTTCATGGTGAACAAGGCGTCTCCTGTTTTAAATAAAAGAGAGCAAGATTCTAGTCAATAATGCCAGAAAATAGACAGCCTGCCGCTGAAGTTGATATGTGGAAGTTTCTATGAAAACAAACCTTTAAAGGTCAAATGGGGAGTCGGTATGTAGTGTCATCACATTTTCCTTTCTTTACTCTAAGCCTTCACATTCATGCAATGAAAGATCAATAAATTATGGCACGAATCAATGATTCAGAACAGAAGGCTCACTGACGAAGATATGACTTAACAGTCCAATATAATGATATGTTTGGTCATTTATTGTCTCTTCTTTGGCATATTTCTGGTGGCTTTCTTGTTTAAGTGGTTGTCGATGTGTTTCTGTTGTCTGGTTACGTTAATCCACGTTACTCTGTGAGCTGCTGTCTGTATTCAACCAAACATCTGACTGATGTTGGGATGAATAATGGTGGCTTCTCACTTTGTTCTGTGACAGTAAATCATTCGGCAGGATAAAAACAAATTCCCAATAGACATGTTGCACAGTACTGTAGAGCAGTTGATCCTCACTTGGAAAACAGAGTGGAGACGAAGAGAAGTAGAGTATTTGATTGATTATAACCTTTGCTGAAGATTGTACTGTATGTTTATCACAGTAAATGGGCATCCCATGCAGTCCATTGGAGAGGACCAGTTCATCCAGCATGCTACAGACCCTCTGCTCTCCATGATGGACAGCGGCGATCAGACAGTCACACATCACACACAGGTCATACATCACCCTCTCGCTTTAAACTCAGATTTATCATGTCATCTCTTCTGATTTGCTACTTTTAAAAATAGGTACTGCTTCTTTTTTTTTTTTTTTTGCACTTTTCTTTCTCCTGCCGTGTGTTTTTACTGTAGGAGGAAGATGCCGAAATAATGAACATTGTCAGTGGAGTGACCAGGGACAGCACAGGGACGGACAGCGGGCTGTGGGACGCGGTGGACTCAGAAGATCTCCTGCCAGCTACTGGCACACCTCCACCCTACTCAGAGGATTTCTACCTTCCCTCTCTCCCCTGCTCTCCCCCACTCTCACCCGCCGACCAGGCCCTCGCCAGGCTGAACCGCCCCGTGTCCTCTGAGCCGACCAATCACAGAGAAAGTCCGCCCATGGACACTTGTGACCTCAGGTACTAAACACGGTAGAATGTTTTCTCTTGTCTGAACGCAGTGTTTTCCGGTTTCTCTGTGTGTAACTAGTCATGTATTGCTCCAGTCCCAGTTTAGTGGCTCTGGAAGTGGACAGTGAAGAAGACAGCGCTGAGCCAAAGTCTCCACTTTCCCCGCTCTTGTCAGATGTTGAGGAAATTGAAGACAAAATGGAAACCTATCGTCCCTCCCCTGACCTCACATGCACTCGCAGTCAATCTGCCTCCTCAGCATGTGAACCCACCACAAAAGTAAAATACTATCTCAGGCTCAGATAATTCCACTTCTCCATATATCATGAGACGTTTGAAGACTTGAAGTTTTTGTATTCACATTTTTTTTTTCCTAGGAAATGTGTGACCAGGGGAGTCGACTGCGTTCGTACTCCTACTCTTCCCCCAAAATCAGCTTGCGTCCAGCTCGTTTTTCCCGGGACAACCACACTTCAGATATCAGCCCTGGTCAGTAGCACCGGGACGATTCACCCCCTCACATAGTTAGAAATGTACAGTGGTCTAACACATAACTAACAACGTGTCAATGGACTAACTTCACTTGTTTGGTGTGTCCCTAATGGTTGATGCTAACTTTTTACGTTCTGTTTTTTTCTTAATCCAACTATCAACTAAAGAGTTTCACTACGAATGTATAAAGTGCGGTCAACTCACAACAAAGGAATGTGCTTAAAGCGATAGTTCATCATTTTGGGAAATACACTTATTTTTGTTGTTGCCAACAGTTAGATGAGAAGATCAATGCCACTCTCTTGTCTGTCTGTGAATATGAAGCTACAGCGAGAGGACGGGTAGTGTAGCTTAGCAGCTGGTAGCTCACTAATTAACAAGTTCCTGGACATCTAGGAACTAGTTGTATTTTGTGTGATTTCGGCGGTGCCTGTGGACAATAGCGGTAGTGTTTCCAAGCACCAGATTCCCAGCCGTCAGCAGGGTGACAGTCTGCTCCGCTCGGTCCTGGTTCTGGTCGTCCAGTGCCTCCCTTCCCTCCAGCGGGCCCAGCGATACGGCCTGGGTCTCCAGCAGCGTGGTGTCGTTGTTGACTCCCCGCAGAGACCTTCAGAGCAGTGAGGCGAAGCTCTGCTCCCGGCCGGTGGAGGTGCCACTGCTGCGGGGTGCAGAGCTCTCCACCATTGGAGGCCCTGCTGGAGTCTCAGCTCAAAGAGTTTCTGGTGAACCTGCATCTATTTTCCTCGGATCCAACCCGGTGGCACCGATCACAAGCATTCAGAATAAATATATAGCATGGCCACTCTTCTCATTTACTTATGTAAGTCATATAGAGGCATCAGTATTAAGTTGAGACTGTTTAATAACAAGTTAAAAGTTCCCCACAGAAAGTTTCAATTCGTAAAAAAGTTTAGGTTTTATGGGGTGTGCCGCACTGTTTCTTGGCTCGGAGCAGTGACTCCCTCGAGGTTTGAGCCTGAAAAACCACAAGAGACAGACATGAGAGTGGTCTTCAACTCTTGGTAAGAAAGCAAATATGCATGTTTCCCAAAATGTTAAACCATTACTTTAACAGTTTTCTTCAAATGGAAAAGGATTCTAGATTTGTTTTAGTTTTTTTTCAAATATTCTCAATGAGCCTGCACCACTGCAAGAAATATCAATTCAAGAGCTCTCAGGCCGGAGTTGACTGTACAGTACGTGGTGATAGTTGTGTGAGCAGCCCTCTGTCCACTGTGCCCTGTAGATGGCGTGCTCCACAGTGTCAGCCACAGCCGATCTCTCCTTCAGGCCCTCTCTCTGTCTAAATCTCTGTCTCTTCTCCACCCTGGTAGTAAGTACTGGACACCTACAGCCGTCACACTGCGCTAAGGCCCAGCATAGCCAGCATGCCGCTGTCAGTGTCGGTGCTTATGTGTGCGGGAGTCAAGGTTATTACTGTAAACTGATTCTCCAACTACTGAAAATTTAAGTTTGACTCAAAAACAGAAACACCTGACTTAGCAGTTCCCCTCAGCTCTTACAGAGATTTGTAACATGTGTTAGCTCTTTGTTTTGGTTTTACGGCCTACCGAATTGTTTCCAAGCGAAGGCAGCTGTTTTCACCCAAAAAAACACAGATAAACCCACTGTATGTTTATGCTGCCTGTCCAGCAGCAGCAGAAAGACAAAGTCAGCAACTAGCTGGGGAACACAGTGGAGCATTTAGAAGCTAAAATGCCAGATATTTACTTTGGTCGAGACCAAAACAGCTAAAATGAGAGTGAATGCAATACTTACATTCATCAGGTGGCAACAAAAACATGATTCTGAAGTTATCCTGTGCATGGAGATATCATGACTGCCAGTTGCTTTTATCCAACATCATTTGAAAATACAAAATATTTCCCCTGCTTAACATGAAAGGAACATGTCTTTAGTCATCTTAAATGTAAAATCTGTGAATACTTGAATGCTCACGCTGAAGTACAAAATCGTGGAAAACTAAAATACGAGTAAACACCAGTTGGAATTAGAAAGGGGATTTGAATCAATAGCTGAAGTAAAAGGTCAATTAGAGTCACCAAAGTGTAATAACCTTGGCGTCGGCATATGTTTGCATGTGTGTGTGTGTGGCTTCCTTAATCATGACGCAGCCTTATTGTAATCAGAATGGCAGTGGGTGTGCAAGAAGAAATCACATTTGCAGTGATGAAATGAAAAGACAGCTGATTGCTTTGCAGCCTGATGATGATGTGGGTCTGAGGGGTCAGCCCTCTGTGTCTGCCTGTGCTTAAGCTTTCATGTGTTTTGTTTTGTCTTGTTTTACGCGTCTGTGCCGATCATCTGTTTCTTTGCTCATCAGTTGGGGTTTTATTCACTCTGTAACAGTCTAAATTTTAAATGTGTTGTCTTCATTGTTGTTGATCAATTAAGTTGTACAACTCCTCCTTCTTTATGTACACAGAGCAAAGAGCCTCCAGTATATCAGAGCAGTCTCATGAAAAAAGGTATTTATGATTTAATTAATATTCACTTATAAGTTATTTGGATTACGTGGCCTTTTGTCTTGTCTTTTCAGTTTAAGCGTGCCTCTGTCATTTCACTCCGGCCTCACTCATTTGGGCTTTCGCAATTAATTAAAAAGACGTACGTTACATCAAATGTGTAATCCCAGCGCCCGGGAGCAACATATGTGGATAACCATGACATCCAGGTTGCTTGGTGACAGCGGGCAGTTTGCTGCCGTCTTTCATGAAGCTCTTTTGTTTATTTAAAGCACAGCTGGTTTATTGTGCGTTACAGGTGTTTTGATCCCGTCTGTTTTTGTCCCAGTGACAACAGAGGTAGTGACGTACAGATATCCGTGTGACCCTGAGCTACACACAGCCCTGTTTCTGTAATGCACAATGCTCTTTGTTTTTTTTCCATCCATGGCTAAGAGTGTCATCTCTCCCCAGATGTGACCTGCTGCATCGTGGATGTACTGTAGTTTACAATGCTCTGGCAAATTATGGTTTATGATTTGAAAAACGCTGTAAAAAGTGACAGTGCTGCTTTATATGGTCTCTGTCTGCTCTAGGAGATGTGGCACTGATGAAAAAGAGGATTTCCTTTCCTCTTCCTGTTCCACTCTGACTATTTTCACTGATGCCAACTGATATTTCCTTTCCCCTCTTATGTATAAATACCCTTATTGAACTGCAACACTTCAGTAGCTCCCCCTCGTGGAAGATACCAGACATAATCAGGACAAAATGATTGTGTAACACTCAGCCTTTCATCCCATTGATTGAGCCCTTTGTGCCTATTTCGTGTGTGAATTGAGCAACCAGATTTGCATCTTTAATCATCAGCTTTAAAACGTCAGTGGGTGTCCGTGTGTGTGTGTGTGCGCTGTTCTTTACAGGGAGATTAGGTTCCGTCAGCGAGCCCAGTCTGCTGATGATGAGGGCAGCATGGAGCTGGCAGAGTCCCTCCAACATCTCACCCTGTCTGAGTTCCTCAAAGAGTATGTGGGGGGTCGAGCCCTGTTCGACTGTTGTAGCGTCCTTTAACCGTCCAGTTCCAACTAACTCTGACCAAGACCGATAGCATGTACGCATCGATTGACAACAACCCACCAACCTCCTCTGCTGCCCTCGTTTAATATCCTCTCCTCATTTCATCTCCTCTCCTCGTTAACTAACCGCTTCTCTCCTTTATGCATCTCCTCTTATCTCGTCTCCTCTCATCACCTTCATTCATCTCCCCTCCTCTCCTCCTTGTTTCATAACCTCTCCTCGCCTCTCATTGTTTCATCTCCTCTCCTTGTCTCTTCTCTTCTCCTCTGCTCTTCACCTCAACACCTCATCTCTCCTTTCCTCTCCTCTCCTCTCATCTACTCTCCTTGTTTCATCTCCTCTCAGCTCCTTTAACAGCAGAACAATACTGTCATTGTCGTTTTGCATGTATCTAGCCTCTAACAATTTTACTAATTTTAACTTACTTTCACAGCTAAGAGTTGCAGAGAATGTACTGAAATTTCTCTGCCACATTTCACTAAAAACATGATTTTTAAATGATCCAAATTTAATTTCAAGTGCTCTCTCAAACATGTATTTTACCAGAAACTAAACACTGTGCAATATCAGATGAAATTATAATTTTGGATGAACTGTTTGTCATTTCATGACAGGAAGTTGCAGTTTGAATTAACCACAATTACTGTAGGTGATGTTATATGCGTTTGTACTACAAGCATATAAGAATAAAGACTCATAAGGACCCCCTGCCTGCACCTACACTAACCCATCAGCCTTGCTTTTGTTGTCCTGTAGACTCAGCAAGAAGACGACCAGGATGGCATGACTTTACCAACTAATGCATGTCTGCAAATAAACTGTTTAAGTGTTGTAAGGTACACAACAAGTCCCACTGAGATTGTTTTCATGTTTCTTAAGAATTGAAGAGGAGGAGTTGGATAAGTACAACATCCCGACAAAGGTGGAGTCAGAGAAGTACAAAGTCATCCGCACCTTCAGTTTTCTCAAGAACCGGATGTCCAGTACACGCAACAAGACCAAGGTAAACCCAAACCACACACCTCTGCTGTAACACCCATCAACCGTAAGAACTAGAATAAAAACAATAACCGAACATGAGTTAAACATGCCACATTACACTCTCAGCCTAGTTTATTAGCTTAAGAATACCAGTAATTGTGTGATTAACTGGCTGATTAAATTGTATTATTTATTTTTATGAGTAAGTATATTTAAGTATTCATGCTACTAAACACTATAGAACTTTTGTGAAGGCCAGTATTCCCGGTCTAGACTGCTACTACTATGGAATATGTGACTCTATGAGAAACGCAACCAGGAAACGTTTCTGGGAATAACTCGAGGTCAGAGTGACGGTCCAAACACAGGGTCCAACCTCTTTCCCTTTTAATGATTAATCCCCTGTTGTTGAGTCAGCACAGAGCCTGGAAGTGCTCCATGACCTGCATGTGTTGTTTATGCTACGCTCCATTTCCTTGTTGGTGGAATTATAGTTTGTAAAAAGGCGGGGGTTCCTTCCAGGCTCATATATCTGCTTACTTGTGGGAGAGTTCACTCTGCAATTGGAACCTCACTCTGGTTTGTGAAAATATGAACTGAGGCCTGCTTTGCTCAGAGAGCTTAGCTGTAGCGGTCACGTTTAGCCTGTGTGGCCTCTTTGTTGGCGCTCATGTCTCCGGCATGGCTTTCCAAGGGGAAGGGGAAGGACAGAGAGACCAAGGATAGGCCGCAGAATGGACATCGATTCAACACAGGGTCCTGTTTGGGCCCTACCATGTGCGTGGTGTGTGATAAACCGGCATCTGGAAAGGACCTGCTGCATTGCTCCGGTAAGTAATAGCGTCATTTTGAAACTTTATTATTTATTTATTTTACGAAAAAAAGTGCATTTACAAAAACTTCAGAAAAATCTCTCTTTCCCAGTTTGCACTGCAATCGTCCATAAGGGCTGTAAGGAATCTGTCCCCCCATGTTTGAAGGTGATTATCGGTTTTAAATATAAGAATAAAAAACTACTCCTCTCTACTGGAGCCCTGTCCTTGTGTGTGTGACCAGCCTCTCTCATTTGTATTACTTAGAAACTTCAGGACAAGTATGCTGTTAACTTGGTGAAGGACAGGACAGCATCCCTCCCACAGAGTGAGTTTACAACACAAAGGTTCCCAGTCGCCAACAATTTTGCTGTCAAGCTCTGGTAGCCATATTGTGCGTGGCATTTCCTGTTTGTTTCATTCTGGGAATGATTATTGTTAATTCCCGCAGATTTCACAGTGAGAGACAGTCCTCCTCAGTGTGTCGTCCCCATCTCTACCTCTCTGCCTGTCATCAAAGACACTGAGACCCAGCCGTGCCTACTCTCTGGGACGTTCCCAAACAGTGACAGGTCATAGAGCTTTATCACTCACATGATACGAGTTGTGGATATTGGTAAATATTTTGTGGGTTATATTGGTTGTTCATGTTTTTTTTTAATTTGGGTAACAGTCGGCTCAGTGAGAGTTCAGAGACGGAGTCTGACGCCTGGAAGATCAACGGCCGCTCAGAAGAGCTCCTGCCGACTCCAGTGTCCTCCACCTCCACTGACTCATCCTTCGGAGAAGGTATGATACGATTATTGCTCGTTGTTTTCAGTGTTTACAGATTTCGACGTACTTATAAAGAAGCAGATGGGTTTCTTATTTTAACATTCAATTCATGCTCCCAAATGTTGTTGCCTTTCCAGTTGGAAAACCGATATTTAAACCAGTTTGTATTATCGTTTTTCTTTTGTAAGATTTCCACCCCTTTTTTTACATTTATTAAAAACAAACATAATTGTCTGGAGATAAATTATTCTGCTGGTTACAAATGTGTTTGACGATGTGTGAGTAATTCAAAGTGTTGCAAATTAAATCGATACTACACCGGAATATTCCAAGTAAAAATACTTAAAGTACTATTTAGATACAGCTTCATCCCATCAAAGGGTGACAAGCTTTTGCATGTTTAAGGAAAAAGACCTTTCCTTCTTGGGAATCCCACATGAATGCAGTGAAAGTGAAAGTGTTTTCCATTCAGCACAAACACGCAACGTGCATTTGTGGATCAAATGTAACAGGTCAGGTGATCTGGCACACGCATTTTACAATCCGTAAATAAATGCAAAATAAAATATTTAAAGTACTAATATTCAAGTTGGGTTGCAGTATTTATTTATAAATGTGTTCAAATTGGTTGCTGATATATTATAGCCAAAAAACTGAACTACTATATAACACTAAAAACTAGTAGTTTTTTTTTTTTTTTAATGCATTTATCCTTAAATTACTCACAAATAATTCAACTTTTTTGAAATTTTTGAATCATGAAACATTTGATGACCAGTATTGAGACAAATTCCCCCCCAATCTAAATAGCCCCAGGGATAAAGAGATACATTGAGATGAGTTGAAGTCAAGTTTCTCTCCAACTGAATCCTGCACTTTTGATTGAAAGTGATTTTGTACCTCTTTCCCTCCGTAGACTGCGTTGATGCGTGTGACATCTCGGCCGATGCTGTGGACTACAAGGCGGAGTCGTGGAGTCTTACCGTGGAGCACAAGTTCTGCAAGAAGCAGGACAAACGAGCTGTCAAGAGGCAGGATGTGATCTATGGTGAGCAGATGCCAGAGTTGTGAAAGAAACCCACTGGAATGTGTCATTTTCTGCCAGTCAGCCATTAATATGATTGAGGAAGAGCTAAAGTTATGCGACGTAATACAACACGTGTTTTCATGTAACACACACATTCAATGTTGACATGTTGAACCTCAGAGCTGATGCAGACCGAGCTCCACCACCTACAGACGCTACACATCATGGCCGAGGTTTTCCGGCGAGGCATGAAGGAGGAAGTGCAGCTCGATCCGGAGGCGTTGGAGCGGGTCTTCCCCTGTCTGGACCAGCTGCTTCTCTCCCACCGCGCCTTCTTTGCCGCCATGAAGGACCGGCGACACAGCTCAGCCCAGCCCCAGGGGCACAGCAACTACCTCATCCAGCGAATAGGAGACGTCCTGCTCCAACAGGTCAGCTGGTCTTCTGGGGCTGCCTCTCTCTTATGTGCGACGGAGGGAAACCAGCGAGGGTGCGAATCACTCGTGTGTGTCTTTTCTCTGCAGTTTTCAGATGAGAATAGTGAGAAGATGAAGCAGGTGTACGGAGAATTCTGCAGCCATCACAACGAAGCGGTCAACTTTTTCAAAGAGCTCCAGCAGCATAACAAGAGATTTCAGATTTTCATTAAGGTACCTTACTCTTCCAGAGCATCTTTTGTACTTCCTGCTCAACTAATTCTAAAATAAAAGGAAAATGACCCTTCTAATCAGGAAGATGTTGGATAATTGTTTATGTTACTTTTACAAGCAACAAGGTAATAATTATTTGGTGAGACGGAAGGAGATCCCAGAGTGCATCTTGCTGGTAACCCAAAGGATTACAAAGTACCCAGTGCTGCTGGAGAGGATCTTACAATATACTCAAGGTAAGTCATGTACCGCCCTCTACTGGTGACATGTTTGTATAGTCAATAACAGCACAATAGACAAGATTTCAGTTTAAAAGTCTACATTCAGCCTTCATGTAGTTCTCCTTCCCGATCCCTCAGAGGCCACGGTGGAGCATGCCGACCTTTCCAAAGCACTGGCTCAGATCCGAGAGGTGATAGCAGCCGTGGACCTGAGCGTCAGCGAATACGAGCGACGCCAGAGGTTACAGGAAGTGTGGAACCGCATTGAGAACCGCAGCGCAGCCAAGCTGAAGAACGGCCATACTTTCCGCAAGCAGGACATGATGGGGCCGGGGCAAACGCTCAAACACCAGGGCCTGCTTCTGTGGAAGACCGCCACCGGTCGACTTAAAGGTGAGGCCGGGGTTTGTTGTGTGATCGATTTGCTGTTTTTGCATGTTTTCTTTTAATGCATGTACAAAATGTGAATAAATGATCAGTTTTATGACATGTTTTATTCTGCTTATCCTCCCTTCCATAGATGTCCTGGCACTCCTTCTCACAGATGCACTCATCTTCCTGCAAGAAAAAGACCAGAAGTATACATTTGCCGCAGTGGTACGCACACAAAATGATTTTGATCGCTGATAATCTGTGTGTCTATTACGATGTTCCATTACTTGTTCAGTGGTTTTATCTCGGGCCATTATCACATCATGTCAAAAAAAATGTAATTCCCCACTTGTAATGTGCCTCAGGATCAGAAGCCTCCAGTCATCGCGCTGCAGAAGTTAATAGTGCGAGAAGTAGCAAACGAAGAGAGAGGGATGTTTTTGATCAGCGCGTCAGCCGCCGGGCCAGAAATGTACGAGGTCCACACGTCATCTAAAGAGGAGCGAAACACCTGGATGAGGCTCATTAGAGAGGCAGTGGAGAGGTGTGTGTAGGTCTCTGTTTTATGTGTGTGTGTGTGTGTGGGAGAAGGAGGATATTGAGAAATACAGATTTCACCATTTGCAAAAAGTGTAACCCGCAGTGATGTATTTCTCTGCTCAGCTGTCCGGAGGAAGAAGAAGAATCCACGAGTGAATCTGAAGAGGAGAGGCGAGCTGCCGAGGCTCGTATTCAGAAGATCCATAAGTTACAAGGTATTTTGAAACCTGTGGCATCATTTATTTCTTTTCTTTTCTTTCACGGTCTTGAATATTCTTTACCCCCCGAGTTAAACATTTCACAATGCTCCATCTGTGAAACCCGATGACCTTGTGTATCAGAGAGTCTGATGAGCCAGGACCAGCGGATCTGCTCCAGCCTGGAGGAGAAGCTGCAGGTCTACGCGGGGCTCGCCGCTCTGAGTGGGAGGACGGACGCGGCACTGGTCGAACCGCGGCTGCTCGTCCAGCCGCAGTCAGAGGAGCTGCCCCAGGCTACAAGGCTGCTCTCTGCCGCTCTGCAAGAGGGTGAGATGTTTTTCATATACTGTACCCTGCAGGAACAAACACAGACAAACAGAACACTGAACAAGAAAGTAAGAAAAATATTGGATATACTTTACAACCTAGCATCAATAACGATTAACATTTAATAAATGGCTGATATGATGTTATTGAAAGCAGATATCAGGACATTTTTGTCTATTAATGTACAGTGTTTGTTAACAGTTATAACAGTATGAAGACATGTTTTATATTATAATTGTTTTTGAATACTATTGTCTGTCATCAGGCTGTTTAAACAACAGCATCCGCTTATGCCTATCCTCAGCAATAAGTTGCTGACAAATACTTTAATAGAAATTGGAAATTTAAATTAAGTGTGTAAATCAAGAAGTGGGAAATTTCCCGACAGGTTTCATTTAATAAAGAAATGCAGTCTAATAATTTTTATTTTTCAAATTTTTTATGAATTAATATTTCTTCTTACAATTACATATAGGCATATATAAGATTATGATCAGGTTTATGTCATTGCAGCCTTTAAATAGATGTTATCTTGTTGAATCTTTTCATTATTGCTTTTTTTTTTAAACAATCTCTTGTCAGCATGAAAACATTCAAGGGACAAGACCAGAAAATCTGAAAATAAAAAGCATTTTTTTTTTGTCCCTGAGAACCTTTTCGTGGGATTTTTAATTCACAAAATGTTGTCTTTGTTCTTCCAGCCAGAACTCTCAGGCTCATATTAAACAGGTGTGAGGTGTTGGAGCAGCACACTGAGTTTCACACTTTGCTGTTGCTTTTGTTTCCCCAAGCTGAGAACCTGAAAGCCACGCTGTCATCTCAGGCATGTTCTCCATCGACTCACAGCCCGGACTCTAGCACAGACTCTGTGTTTCCTGTCAGCCCTGCTACGCCTGTACAGCCCCCCTCAGACTCTAAGGCCTCACTCGCAAACCCGGAGGCCAGTGAGGGGAGCTGGACTGAGACCCTTGTGCTTCACGCCCCATCTCTCCTGCAACAACCAGACAGGAATGACATTGACTTCAAGGTACAGCACAGTTTCTGCTACATAAAATGTACGTATCTTATAGCCACTCTCGTATGACCTCGCGGTATGAATAAAGATTGTGAATTCAATAGGTGTTGTTTGAGTTAAATATTGATGCAGAAGTATGATGTAATGTTCATTGTAGTTGCGATGGGGGAGGTACAGCTGTATTTCCAGAGGTATTATAGGTCATGATAGTCTTTTACTGCCTGCATCTCAGCCTCACCGCTTTCCATTTCCTCACAGATGTGGGCCTCAAGATTGCCAACAGTTGTTTTAATAATTCAGCACAGTCTATTAGAATTACATTTCAGTCTTAATGTGATGAATCATTGATAAGCTCATAATAAAGGAAGAAGTCCATTGTGTTACCAAAGGTATTGCGCCATTAAAAATGGATACGGAGACTTATTCCAATTGCCATGCCACAGTTGTGCGACCGTTTGTAGCTTTTTGTGACCTGTGAGGTAAATGACTCCGATAAGAGGGAATCATTCTGTTATCCACTGCAGTGTGTGCGAATTTGACCCTAAACAGTGTGGCAGGACACAATGCGGCCTCAAGGGGGCGCACATGTTGCATGAATGCAACTTCCAATTTTGAAAATATTTCGACTTTCCTGTGAGTAGATTGTAAAGTGTAACTCATTGTTTAGCAGAAAAATGTCTTGTATCAAAATCACAGCGGGCTTGTTAATGTGCATGCTGTGTTGTGATTCTATCCGTTAACAGGTTTATCAAAGTGTCCAAAGCTTGACCAAGTTACTCTACAGTCTGCAGGTGAGTGCATTATTCAATATACGGCTAACCACCTGCTGCTACTTCTCCCGCTCGCAGTCCTCATCTATATTATTATCCAATCAGAAAGCCAGCAAACGATCAAATCTCTTCTATTTTTTTGCTGAGAACATACTATACGCTTTGTTAGTACCATGCGCAGTCAAGATAACGGCTTTAATATGCCTGCACGCTCCAGCTCCAGTAAACAGAGAACCAACGCTCGGCTGTTTGAAGCCAAAGGTAGCGAGCAACAGGAGCAAGAATCCTACTGATCTTTTTTCTGCTGGGAGACGTACAAGAGTCTTGTGTTTCACTACACACACACACACACACACACACACTGCTGCTAAGTATAAAATGTAAATTTGTGCAGAGAGGTTGTGTATTTGCATGAGGGGATGTGTGTGTCTTGCCCGTCTATGTGAGTTTGAGGTTTTGATTTCAATGATATTTTCGTATTCAAAGTTCTGAATGCATTATTGCATATGAACCTGAAAACCGCAGTTCTACCAGTGGAGGTGGGCTCTTTCCACCATGTGAAGTTCTGTTGTCTTAACACATAAAAGGTCAGGGCAGGGTCTGATCAAATCTTTTTCCCATTCAAATCGCCTTCTCATATTACCTGTTGTGAGGATGCACATGTGGTTAAAGTGGCCTTTGCATTTTCATGAAACTCGTCTCTGCTTTGCCCTGTCGGTTGCAGGCCGCCGTCACCATCCAGGACAGCTGCTATGAGGTCCAGAGGCTCCTCCTCCAAGAGACTGGCCGCCCTTCCCCCCGCGCCCAGCGGTCGCACCTTCCAAGCATCCGGGGCAACACCCTACAAGAGCAGGAGAAGCAGCGTAACCTGGAGAAGCGGAAGGAGGAGCTGGCGGCGGCCCAGCGGCTCCAGGACCGACTGCGCCAAGAGAAGGAGCGCTGGGAGAGGGAGTGCCAGGCCAGGGAGAGCCAGCAGGGGGAGCAGGAGAGCAGGCTGGAGGAGAGGGAGAGGCAGTGCCACCTGGAGACGGAGAGGCTGAGGCGCGAGAGGGAAGAGTTGGATGAGCAGCTGGAGGAGTACCAGCAGAGCCTGGAGCGGCTCAGGGAGGGCCAGAGGAACGTGGAGAGGGAGCGCGAGCGTCTGGAGAACCAGCAAAAGCTGCTCCAGACCTGGAGGCACAGCCGGCAGAGGAGTCTGCCAACTGTGATTCCTCACATGGTCATCCCTCTAGATGGGCAGCAGGTATGGCAACACAACAGACAACTGTTTCTGCTGTCTATGGATTTTGGAATAACTTCTGATGTTTATTCTGAGGCCTTAATCGAAGGCTCAATAATGCCTCTGACTAAAGCTCTTGACCCTGACATGAGTGTGAGGTAGATATGCAGTGTTTATGGAGTATTTATTGGCTAAAGCCGTTAATGAGAAGCTTTTCCCAGACAGCTATCAGCCTGAGTTACGCTGGTTCACTCATTTACACACAGCAGCACAATCCCCTCTTGATATACGACCTGCGATAATGAGAGCAATTTCAGCATCATTTGTCTTCGTGCTCCAGCAGCTCCACTCACCAATAAACATCTTAATGATTGATGATAATTAAACCATTGCAAATAAAAGCCCCGACAAAATAATTAAAACCAGCCCAAGAAACCAATCAATCGCATCCGAAAGGACTTAAATTATCGACACTTTGTTTGAAAAGCACCACAGTGAAATGTCCCCCGCAGCTGGAAGGCACGGAGGATAAAGGCTGCACTGTTCTCCCTGCCCTTTAAGTCTCAATGTACCTCACAAGGACAAGCAGCGGTGGTGAAACTAATATACAGTAGCTCATGCATCCATGTTAAGCCTCTGCCGGGTGCTGCTTTGTGCTGCTCAGTTCAGCAGGTGTGACTGTTCAAAAGACGCACACAGAGAGCACTCGAATGGACAGACAAATGAGCAGGCTGGTTACAATATTCCCTCTCTCCCTCATTCATTTACACACCACCGTGGGCTTTTCTTCTCTTCTTTTTTTCCAGGCTTGATGCGATGAGGCTCTCCTGGCTTTTTTTGCGGACTTACTTATTTCCATTTCTCTATTCTAGTCGGCGTGGAGGCTGCATTAACAGCAGCGGTCTGACAAAGTCGTGCTGAAGCAGTGGAGGTCCTAATGTTCTCCTGCTAATGTTTTAGCCAGAAGCGGCAGTTCACAGGGTCGGAGACAGATCGAATGACACACACACACACACACACACACACACACACACACACACACACACCAGCTCTCAGGTCATTTCCAATTAGCTGTGCTGCCTCCGCTCCGCAGAGGAAAGGAGGCCATGTTGATGTGAAGATGGGACAGGAGAGAGAGAGGGTATCAGGGGGCTGGAGCTGTAAGAGAGGATTGATACCCTTCACATTTTGTTTTTGTTTTATTTGTTCAGGATTTGAGATATCCTACGCTGAGAGCTTTGCCTCTACACAAATACAATGGTGATTTGTTTGTGAGGCTCAATGCAAAAAAAATAAAATTTATTTAGAGCAGCTAAGTGTCTTTTTTTAGAAACAGATTACATTACTCGAGAGAATTTACAGAACACACAGTTAACAGTTTTCATAGCAACCGCTTTCGCTGAATAATAAGTCCCTTCACGTCACAGTTAAGTCTGTCTATTATCCAGACTTGGGTTTTTCATATGCTGTGAGCCACACAAGTTAAATTCTATTTGCTTCAGTTGTATTGGGGTGAAAGCAGAAATCTTAGAGACAGATATCTCAAAACCTGGACGAATAAAACCATAATGATCTGTCAAGTTATTATACCAGATGCCTCTCGAGGTAAGTGGGAACATTAATTTAGATTGAGCTGCCCTTTTAAAATGCAGTTTTAGAGAAAATTATCTGAAAGGACTATTAGCAGAACCTTTCATTGCAGTTTCACTTATAAAATACATTTCCTGATCCTTCATGCATCAGTGCATTTCAAAGGTGCATTGTTAAATGGTTTCATAGGTGTCTCTAATCATCAACGTCGAGAACATGAGCTTCATCTGAAAGTCTTTTGATGGTGTTCTTGAGTTCAACATGACCGAGATGATGCTCTCTGTCCCCCAGGACTCGGTACCAAGTCAGTCCAGAGACCTCGCCGGTAACGGCTCCGTGTTTGTGAATGAAGCTGCGTTCGCCAGCACCAGCGTCAACAACCGTCACGTCCACCACAAACGAAATGACCCCATCGCGCACAATTGTCTGAACACCCTGCTGGCAAGATCCAACAGCAGACAGACCCCCGTAGCTAAGACTCCCCACAGTCCACACTCAGACTCCCAGGGATGGATGATGGGGACAGGGTACCTCTACAGCCCCGCAGGCCGGCTGGAGCTGCAGCACACGCCCAGTGGTAAGAAGTTTTACCATCTGTTATAGTGGAGGTTTAAAGCAAAACACAGATCGCTTTTTGCCAAGGGGCTCATTAGGACTCATATTTTTGATTTCTCATGTCTCCTGTTACCTCATACATGTTATGTAGGATGGTTTCATCTGTGTTTTGGTCTGTCTGGTGTGTAGACGAGGGCTGTAACTAACGGTTGTTATCAGTTCACCTGCTGTTAATTGTTTGGTCAATAAAACGTCAGACAATAGCGAAAAATGCCTTTTACGATTTCCTGAAGGCCAAGGTGCCATTTTCAATTGTCTTGATTTGTCCAAGAAACTTCCCCAGTGGATAACCTACATTCAGACAAGTTTTCTGAAAGTACATGTTTAAATATGCCAATGAGGCATTAGCTAATGCTAACCTTTGGTGAATTCAAAAATCTGCAGATGCAAATAAGCAGTTAAATAAACGTTCCACTAGTCTGAGAGAGGACATGTTAGGGAAGCAAAACATTCATTTCCGTATTAATGAGATTTTTTAAAAAGATTTTCTTTTATAACTTTCAGACGCCATCTGGGAAGGGATGCAAGTTGACGTAGAAAACCCCACTAATGAATGCATCAAGTAGCTCAATTAATCATTTTCATTACTGGCTATGTTTAATATCCTGTATCTTATGCGCTAATGGCGAGACATTTCACAGCTCAAGTGCCTCTTGTATGGGACAGCCGTGTGCGGTTATCCTACTGTCTGCTGCTCTACATGAATGACAAATCTGCTTCCTGTGAGAATGTAAACAAACCCTCCGCCTGTACGTGAGAGCGTACTTGTACACACACTCGCTCTGCTCCCAAGGCTCTATCCCCGGTGAGGCCTTGTCTGTCCTTCCTCCCAGTTAATCAGTGTGTCCTGACAAAGAAACCGCCCTTCCTCCCCACCACCTCCACCTGCGACGAGCCGGGGGCCCCCCCGCCTGCCAAAGGACGAGAAAATCAATGGTTCATCTATCTATCGACTGGCAGTGCAGACAACAGCGTGTGAATCACAGTTCACAGGCGATGGCGGCCTGATTGGGACATCGATCTAAAAAAAAATCTTTACGAAACTCATTACAGCATGACTTGTCATTGCATCAAGAGATGGTGGGGGAGGGGGGGGTCGCGAGCAGGGAAATGAGAGATGCGGACACATGTTAATCTGCGTTTCGCTCATGAGGTGTCTGCTACATTCTCACGTTCGCATGTCCCCGTTCCTAATCTATTCATGCACAAGCTCATTCTAATATTCGCGGCAGGCGGGGCGGGGTGGGGGAGGGGGGGATTCAGTGTTTCTGGTATTGGTTACCAGCAATGACAGGCAGCACAACCTCCTCCTCATTAATCCGCTTATTCACCTTTCCTCATTATTGAGCACACACGAGCCCCGGTGAAACCGGAGTCACTTGTTAACAAGCCAGGGGTGTATACGTGGCTGCCATCTACAACGCAGGGTGCGTTCCAGCTCGCATCTACCCACAATGCTGTACAACTCCTCGTTGCATCCCACGAGGGCCTGCGACGACATACTCCGAAAGACACTGAATAATATTGGTCAATCTTCACATAATTCCTCATCAGATGTATACCTCTATAAGGAGCCCTTTAGTGTTTTGTATGCAGTCTCAGATTTGAAGACCTCGTCATGCTGGATCACCTGCTGCCTGCTATGTGGAGGAACCTAGTATCTCTTTTTATCGTGGGAAAAGAAGAGGAATCTCTTTCAGATGCAAATTTCCCATTGTTCCGCCAGTCACATGGAACAAAACATGATCTCGCTTCTCATTCTCACCTGAGCATGTGAAGATGTCCTCTCATGCACACACACACCAATACACACCCTTTTTTTTCATTCACTGCGAGATTTCCATAATTTGTTTCCTGCACAATGTAATCTTGGGGAACCAGTTGGATGGAATTTTCTGAAATGACGCCTCATCTGGTGAGTCGTGTCTGGTTTTTGTTGCTCACCTTTTCACACAAAGGACGAGAGCATCGTGAGAGTCGGCCAAGGGAGAAGAGAGATGAAACTGGCGTCTCTTTACAGTTTGTAGATTAATTCACACCTTACATAATATGCTGCGTGATGCACAAACCTGATCCGTGGCTGTCTAACAAAGCGTCGGGATGCACAGCGGTGGTTAAATGATACTATTGATTATTTCTGCTCAATACTGAGATCACAACTAGAATATATTAGCATGAAATGGATCGTCTTGTCCCACCAGAGCAGGGAATTTCTCTCTGTCTCACCAATCAAGACACAGTAAAAAGCAATAGACAGAATGTAAATCCTTAGATAGATAGTTCATTATATTGATTGCACAAAAGAATCGCTGATATAGATTATTATTTACCAGACATGTTGTCAAGCGTTGTCCAGAAGGCTTTGACTCAAATCCAGAGTGGACATAGATATACGTAGCATTATACTGATTCTGGCAACCCACAATTATCCGAGAGCCAACGAGATTTTCTCCAAATGTTCAAGTAGCCCTAACAAATTCATCTTTTCTTTTTGTTGCTTTCTTTAGATATAGCAAACATTTGCTGTCTGTGTTCTAACACATTAATTATGCTAAAATGGCATGACTTCATGGTTAAAGACAGAGATCGAGTGTTTTTGTCATCCGGCTGCACACTGATGTCTCATCTATCAGCGGCCACCAGGCCTATATGGTGGCTAACAGAGCCACTCTAACAGACTCTTATATAATTAATCAAACGGAGACGCTCTCCTACGGGGGACACAATAAGGCAATTTATAGTTCACGCCATCTGTTACCATGACAGCGCACCTGCCCGTATGCTAGACAGCACCCACCACGCACACACATGTAAGAGCACACACATTCTCAACTAGATGCCACCCATGAAAACACTCTTTCAGTTCTCTTTTTTTAATTGAATAATAATGCTATTGATCCATGAAGGGAACGGGGCGTAAAGCCGGGGATATAATATTCAACTTCAGCAGCCCATATGTCTGCCGACTCGATGGATCCTCGTTATATCGGCCTTAAGGCTGCTCTCGCTAACATTTCTGCTCATCCCTCCTCGTTTCCGGTGCCTCGTTTCCTCATCTCTTCTTGTCAACCGTCAAGTGTGAGGAGGCGGGTGTCATCGAATTCCGACCATGACGATGGATTATGTTGACAAAGATAATAATAAAAGTGACACCTTTAAGTAGAAGTGTGGATAGCAGGAGGGAGCATGTGAAGCTGAGCCGCAGCAGCTGTGGTTGATCTATATACAGTTAGTGATTACATGAGAGGACCAAACAATTAGACTGAGCTCATTAAACAAGTGGTGCATGTCCCATCCTGGTGATTATGTATCAGCGGGTAGTAAGTGAGTGATCTGGTCAATGGATTACCAGCATCAGTAGCTGTATTTTTTCTACATATAGAGTATAATAATAGTGTTTTTTTGTGTGTGCTCTCTCAGATCTTAACAGTCACGGCTACATCGCGGAGACCTGGTCGTCAACAGCAGGTGGAGCTGACTCATATCCTGTGCTGCCTCATCCCGGTGACCCTCAGCTGGACCTCAGTGCACTGGTTTCCTTGGAGACTGACAGCGGTGGGGAGGAGGGCAGTGAAGAAACCATTGTGTACCTCTGAATGGTGATACATTTTAGGCTCTTCAGCATCCAACCCAGCACTTCAGACATTCATGAAGCACCAGGACTCTGGATCAAGTGTGACTTCAGAAAGCATTTCTCTCTTTAACATTATTTTGGCATGCTTTTCTTTTATATTTGAAAGATAGTTTTGTGGTCTTTTATGTACGTGTAAAGTTACTGGAAAAAAAGATAAATAAGGTTGTTTCAGACTCAATCGCACATGTGTCATGCACCTTAGCTCCAGGCACCACTGGGTGTTCAATGTCTCTTTATTTTCATTTGTTTGTGCGTGTTCTTGACCGGGTCCCTGCAGCTACACTCCCCCCCCCCCCCCCCCCCCCCCTCCCCCCCCCCCCCCCCCCCTCTCTGCTTCTTGCTGTCCCTCCCTCGCTATAGGCAAACGCCAGTCTGTGTCTCTCTCGCGGGTGATTGTCTTGCCACGGAGCAAACTGCCCCTCTTTCATTTATCCGACCGGCTCTGTTTATGTACAAGTCGAGCGTAACGTGAAGCACAGAACATCAGGATTGAATGATGAGGTGCGACACGGTCAGTCCCACATTTGCCAGACTCGCTGCCTGTTGCCATCATTTATTTCTCTTTATCTGAAGCACGTTGTTCTTGTTAAGAGAAATAAGCGCTGATGCGGTTTTAAGAGAGATGTTGCAGCTGTGCTAATATGTCAATTTCAGAGTGTATACATTCAACTGCAAAAGCCTGGGAAAGCATGTTTTAAGCCCAACTGTTCCTGTGAAAAGTAAAAGGAAGTTGTGGTGGAAAAGGATGGAACTCCTGTTGGGTCAAACCATTTTAAATACTCTTGTAATTATTTTACAACAATTCTCATCACAAATTTCTGACCATATTTTTATGTATTTATTGTGTTTTTAGCCAAACTAGCAGCATGGCTCTGGAGATGCTAACTTTATTCAGACATTCATGGTTCCTGGAGGATGAATCCTAATGTTTTGACGTCATGTCCTCTTTGGAATGAATTATATTAACATTGGTGATCCCCAAACTTTTCTCCACACACACATATACAAGCTGTAAAGGGTGGAAGATGTCCTGAAATTATCTTCGTAAGCACCCAGAAAAATAAAGACGGTTGCTTTGTTGATACTATCATACTTAACGCTAAACTATTACACTTGAATATTTAGTATATTTACTTATTATCCCATTTATGTAAAGAGGTCCCTGTGCCAATGCTTTAGGTGTCCCTTGATGGTTTTTACAAGCACTATAAAAGATGTCTAAGTACCGTTGTAGTTTCTTAATGGGACAATAAGGCAGTGGCAGTATTTTTGATGTGATTTTAGTACCATGTATATATGTTTGTGCTATTTATTTATTACAGTACAAAAGAGTTTTACAGTGCTTTGTGACGGGTTGTGTTGTACATATTAGTTTACCTGTGTGAGCAGATGAACAGGTGTGTTTCCGTTCATTCGTCTTGTGTGCTCAGACCATGTCCTTATTGATAAAAATGACTTTTATTGAACTTGAAATAGTGCTTTGTTTTTCTTTAGGCTAATAAATGGGGCGAAGTGTAACCTGTAAATACAATAAACAAGCGAGCTGGTTGAAGCACAAACACAATATTCAGCTTGGGTACAAGTATCACTTCAGCTTTTATGGCCCCGGTCTGAGTGCGAAGCGTCTCCAACTGTGTTAACAGACGTGTGTTCAGTTGCCAACAGTGGCAGGTGGTACACCAGGTGCATGAATGACAATGATTTCCTGTCAGACTGCACCTCTGAATTTGCAATCACAAAATCCATCCAGCTATGGAATGAACGCAGTATTGTCGGGTAGCAACAATCGACCGTGTCACCAATTTGTTTGGGGGGTTGTTTAATTATTTAAACTTCTGAAAACACTAAGACCTTTACAGGTGTAGAGACTCCCTCTAATCACAGCCTTTCTCTCAAGCAGAGGCTAAAAATAAAAACAGAGATGCCTCAATTTGGAGCTTCCTGGCTTTCCCTGACAGCAGTAATGTATTTCATATGCTCCACCTGTGTCTCTGTTGCTCTTTCCCTTTCAGACAGAGCAGATGCTTGAGACGAACAGGGTCCCTGCTCTACCTCCAACATGCACCTTATTATTTCACTGAGGCTCTACAAACTCCCGCTCCATTCCTTATCAGCTGCACTCCCCAGACAGCTTTCTAGATTATTAGATTTTGCTTTATTAAATGTCATTTGCAGTGTCATCCATGCTTTAATTACCACGTATTGTTTTTAATAATTTTACTCAAACTGGATTACCTTATTCTTATTTAACTTCAGTCTAATGAATGAGAGCAGTGGTGGATAAGCCACTCTAATAAACTAGTACCAGCAAATGTCATTTGGACAGTATCGAGTGTCTCTTCCATATCTTTCTCTTTTATTAAATCACCCTCTGAACCATCTACAGGCCACCAACAGGCTTCTTTTTGATGATTTTGTATGACATTGATTGCACGGATTTTGACTGTGTATTTCTTGGGGATTTTAATATTAATTGTCATGTAACTTACTTGGTTAAAAGAGCGGTTCACCCCAAATTAAGAAAATGCATATTGTAGGAAAACAGCAATCACAAATTTACTTATTTTAATCCACGCCACGAGTTTTTACTGAACCTTTTTATATTTTGATATCATACAGGTGGCAAACTACTTTAATGCTTTTCCTCCATCTCCAGCTCAGTCAAATTGCTGCTGATAGAGTTCTTATTAAGTAACCTTGTGTTTACATCCACATTTAAATTATGTGATATATGCAAACAAAGACTATACATTTTCTCCAATATTATTCATACCTTCTTTGTTGTTTCCCTGTGACTTCTTCTTCTTTATATCTTAACATATTGATTTGTAAATACTTAAGGCCCAACATACCTCTTTGATCTGTTTTACCAAGCCTGCAGGCCTCTCGGGTCATCTGTGACTGCTTTACTTCCAAGGGTTAAAACAAATATAGTGAAGCAGTTGTTTGTCTCTCTCTGGAACACACCTCTGGGAGATCTGAGGTCTGCTCTAAATCTAACCTCTTCTAAATCAATGTTTTTCTGTTTACGCTCTGAGTTTGGGGCTATTTTCGTACTGTAACCACAATATACCTTCTATTCCTTTGGCTAATATTCTATTTTTATTTGATATCTTATATTATTAAGTCTTCATTTATTTTTGTTTGGATTTTCATAGTCTTCTAAATGTTTTAATGCATTTCCATTCCCCTATAGAAGCACTTTGCATGCTTTGCCTTTCTCTTTCATACTGAAGAGCCATGTGGAGATGTGGTCAGACCTCTGTTTGATCCTCTTTGTACTCCTGGTACCCCCACAGGTTCCATGATGCCCATACTTTTTGCTAAGATTACACTCTCTTCCCACACCCCTTTTCAAGCCCTCACCTAATGACCTTTGACGCACTGTGTATGCTTCAGTGAGCAGCAGCCTTTACCATTATTTTATGGACCATAGATGAGTATAATCAAAATGTGCTTATGCTTTATGTGCCTCTGGATCTTTCTTTTGTTAAGCTCTGGTAGAAGGAAACCTGTCAAATGCAGCAAACAGCTGTTTGAGGAGGTAATGTCTGTGTGAAACAAAGATGGACAGGAAGGGCACACTTTACTGAAACACAAGCTTTTCATATGCATGTCATGGAGTGTGCCTGTGTGTGTACGCTTTGTTGTTGTGTTTGACGGATGTTATGGACATACAGGCACATGCGCTCGTACTATCATGTCAATGCCAATCAGCCAGCTGGGTGTTTCCAGTTCAGCTGACAGTCTCTTGTCTGATATCATTCCATGATAGCATTACAAAGGCTTTTCATCTCCTGATAACAAAGTTGGTGATCAAGATCTATTTCCAGTCGGCCAACAATGGAGCAAAAAGTGTAAATATCCTGAAGTGAATTTGTCTTTCAGTAAACTATACACGCCCAGCATTGCAATTGAAATAGTGTTGAATACTTTACAGCTGTTTAGTGTTTCTCTCCCTCCTTCAGTCCGTGTGGACTCAGCAATCAGAAGTAGTTCCTTCCTCATTATACATAAAGAAACCTAGTACTGTATGTGGCCTCTGTCTGTCTCCCCTAGTTGTTTTTAATGACCGCTGTGGAAGGTAACCAATAACGCCAAAGGAAAAACCGATAAAGTGGAAACATATTATCGCTGAGTCATCTGCCAGGGTGAAACACGCGTTGCTAAAGCCTTTCCCAAGGGGAAGTGTAATGATTTCTGTAGGCACACTGAATAAACCTGCCCGGCCCAAATATAAATAACAGCCATTAAAGCTTATCCCAGTGAGGAATGCTTTTATGGGAAAGCTGAACAATATACAGCATATATACACAGGTTATTAGATTTCTCTGGGGGTGAAATATAGTGAAATGCCAGATACAATATATATAGACTGTTCACAACCGCAGCTGGAGGAGAAAATCTACGACAACTGTAACAACTTACTGTAAATTTGTTTGACTTTTAATACTTTTTTTCTCTAATAGTATATTTGGTGGAGCTAAATATGTCAGTGCAACTTTAACAATCCTTATAACGTGTCTTTGCAGCCTTTGCAAAGAATCCAGAGTTACTTTTGAAATGACATTTTAAGTGACACACCCTCTGATTGACTTTACTTTTGACCTTGGATTTAATTGGTTTCACTCATCGCGTCCCTTTAAAGTCACCGTCATCTCCTGCAGCTGTTTCAAAGCCAAGTGCAATGCAGTTTAACCCAAAATAAATACTAATTATAGCACTCGGACATCAATGTCGCAGCCACAAAGCAACGGTATGCAGGTCTGATAGGCACCGGAGGCTACAGTCGCAAAGATTAACAAACAGAAATGAATAGTTTTCCAGAAATGAGCTACAAAAGAAGATTTATTTACCTTGAAATGGTTGACTTTGGTTGATGCAAGCCACCCACGTTTGTTTCCTACACAGCATTTCCCTATTGTGGGAAACCAAGTTGTGTATATCAGAACTTTAAGAAAAACACGTCCATCAGCTGGTCAGGGTTACGACTTGGATGTTAGTTTTATAAGCTGGAAAATGGCAAATTGTATCCTTCCGGGGGACGTGAACGCAGCATTCATAGGCTTGCCAACATTATTATGGGATCTTTGCAAATTTCTAGTCGCCTATATAAGTATAGGACATAAAAGCTCATTCAGCAGTTTCTTTCCCCTCATTCTTCCTGGACCACCACTGAACACCCATTAAACAACGTTATACATGTATCATAAATGTATCGTCCGACCTCGAGGGTAATGGTAATAATTATCTAAAATATTAACAGAAATACTGACACGGCATT